GAGAGAGAGAGAGAGAGAGAGAGAGAGAGAGAGGCTGGATGACAAAATTGAAATATGGGTCAAATTGTGGCCGCGACCTATTTCACAGTTGGACTGTTTTTTATTTATTTATTTATTTTGCATTTTTTGTCAAAAGATCACAACAAAATCTATGAGTACTCCAATTTTCAGGTTTTTTCACGCATTTTTCTGAGCGTGAAAACTCACTGAATTTGGTGTACTTGGATAAGTGACAAAAATAAAAAATTTATCGAATTGGTTTAACGATTATTTCACAGTCTAAATGATTTTTGAAAATGTTCTGATAATTTTTATGGAAAGAATACGACCTCATCTATGGGTTCTTAAAATTTCAAATTTTTCTGCAGATTCCTCCGAGCACAAAAAATCGCCAAAGTTGGCTCTTGCAAAACACCAGTTTCGTTGCGCCTTACCTCCCTGTTTTGGGAAGACGGGCGTCAATGTCTGGGTATGAGTGAGGTTTTGTAGATCACATGCGCTCACTTCTTTTTGGGGTCCGCTTCCGAAAGTCCTGGTTCTATAAGAGCTCGTTGTAGGTAGGCCGAAATATCTTGAAGGACCGGTGCCCCAAATCCCCCCCCTCCCTAAGAACCCACTTGCATCGTGGTCGCCCGCCGCCAAAAATGTCACACCTTGACATAGTAGACGCCAAAGCCCACTATACCGCAACCTTAGGGCTATATATATTTTTAAAATGACAACCTATTTGAAGGGGACATCCCCCCCCCCTTAATCGGTGGTGGTTGTTTTATCTAGCCATCTCTGGAACTGCAGTTGCTGGGCCAAGGTCCCACTTGGTCGGATCCTCCTGTGTCTTTGACCATGGATCTCTGTTATCTGTTGTCCAGAGTGAAGAACTCAGGCAGGTGGGTGGAGTGTGGGAGAGTGTTGGCTATAGCCACTGCTGCTACTCTATAGGAGGTAGAGGAAGTAGATGGGAGGTGCAGCTATTGACAAAATTATCAGTCTTTGCCTTAGCCTATACACATAAGATGAGCATGCCCCCTGTACAAGGATGACCGCATAGTCTATGGGGGGTAGGGGAAGTAGATGGGAGGTGCAGCTACTGGCAAAATGCTCGGTCTTTGCGTTAGCCTATATACATAAGATGAACATGCCCCCTGCACAAGGATGACCGCATAAATAGAGGAAAAAACAAAATTTTAGGGACTTGTCCACAAGTTTCAAGGATCTCTAAGGTGTGCCTTACGAGACCATTATTCTATTGTCTACCGCGTGGGCGCGGGGAACGCAGCCCTAAGGTAGCCAAATCAATGAGACTAAGAGCTAACACAAGAGAGAGAGAGAGAG